GGTTAAGGCATTCTCAGTCACAGGATGAGATAGGAGGTTGGCACAAGATACAGCTCACAGAGACCTTGCTGATAAAACAGGTTGCGATAACGAAGCCAGCCAAAACCCACCAAAACTAAGATGGTGACGAGAGTGACCTCTGGTTGTCCTCATGACTCATTATACACTAATTATAATACATCAGCATGCTAAGAGACACTTCCACCAGTGACAAGACAGTTTACAAATGTCATGGCAACATCAAGAAGTTACCCTATATGGTCTAAAAAGGGGAGGAACCCTCAGTTCTGGAAATTGACCCCCTCATCCTGGAAAACTCATGAATAATCCATCCCTTGTTTAGCATGTAATCAAGAAGTAACCATAAAACCAGCAGCCCTTTGGGCTGCTCTGTCTATGGAGTAGTCATTCTTTTATTCCTTCACTTTCTAACTAAAGTTGCTTTCACTTTACTCTAGGGACTTGCCCTGAATTCTTTCTCCCGTGAGATCTAAGAACTCTTTCTTGGGGTCCAGATTGAACTCCTTTCCTGGTAACAAAACCACAAGATCCTTCAAGGCCCAAAGGATATCAATAGTTAGGTGGACATTACCTAGTCTTTCAAAAATGTCTCTGCCTCTTCCTCCAATCAATTTTTTGGTAGGTTAGTTTATAAACTTCTGAGTAGGTACAACACACAGTATTTTAGTTCAGATTTAGGTAAGAAGGTGATGAGTCAAGTATTACCAGTTAAGAAGTACAGTTTAAGTTCTCTGGTCCTCCTTTTGGAACAGGGCAGTCATTTTCAGTCCGTTTATGAATATAAGATCCAAAGAAAATATTTTTATTTTCAACTGATACTTTTCTTCCATCAACTAACAACTATTAAGTTCTTATTCTATGCAAGGTACTATTAGGGATAGGGATATACAAAGTTCTGTTAAGACATGATTCGTGTCTTCAAAGAGATTATAGGAAACCTCAAAATTTGTATCACTATAAAGATCTCCATACAGTAAAAATAATATCAAGCCCTACTCTTCCATATATTTTTATATAAATAATTTTTGATCTCATACTAAACAAACAATTTGTTTTTAAAGGAGACCATCAATAGCACACAGCCAAGTTGGAAGATAGTCTAGAATTCATAAAAGCTTCATTTACTACTCTACGCTTTTATAGGGACGTTTTATTACTGGGTACTTAGAAGGGCCACAAATGTTACTTGGGGGCAGGAAATAAGAAGTTCTAAAGGAAATAGGAGGTTCTTAGTCATTTCTTCTCTTTTGATTTTTTCATCTCAATCCTGTTTTAATTTATGTGATGTGAAAATCCTCCCCTTTTGGGGGTGATGGAAAAGACCAATAATGATAACTCACATTTAATGTTGACTCCTGCACAGATGCTCCTGAGTGAAGGAGACATATTAGGGACTTTACCACAAAATGAATCACTTACCATCACTTCTCCTTTTGTGATGGTAATCATCTAAAATGACTTTAAAGAGTCAGCCTTCATTCCACTTGTAAGGAAATGCAGAATACAGAAAAGTCACGCAATTCTTTCAGTGTAATAAATGGCCTTTGACACTTTGTGAACAAGCTAAAAATCAGACCAACAAAATATATCCACTAATGGCTTATGCATACTCTAGTGGGTTGCTAGGAGTAGGGGGAAGAGATGGTGCTATTTTGGAGTACAAGGCAGCAACAGAGAGGCAAAGCAAGACAGGATCTACAAGTTGCACAGCATGGAGCTCACAATAACTTACTAGCCGACAAAATGTTCCCAATCTTGTTCCCATATATTTAAACAATCATGCCCTAGTGTCATGAATGTTTAAGTCTCAGAAACTCATTTAAGGGTAAGAGATTACAAAGGTCCTTTAAGAAAATCATTCTGCAAACCTGTCCTAGAATTGGTTCATGAGTTTAATATTTTGCAATTAAATTTAATTTTAGCAATGGCTTACAAAAAGCAGAAATGAAAACCTACCTCTTTTTAATGTGAACAACATAGCTTCTCCCCCTTCACACTTTTTTTGTAGGCCATATAGGCTAGAAACATCAGTAAAGGTATAAGGGGCAGAGGTTTGTCACAGGGAGGGGAAGGGGCAACACTTATCACAAGAGCTTTTGAAAATATGTGGGGACACTGATTGGCACAATGATTGGAGAGTGCTATTGGTGTTTCAAATGCCAGGCTCAGGGATGCTGAATGCTTGCTATTCTGGAAACAGACCCACATAGTGAAGAATTACCCTGCCAAATGCTCATAGCAACTTGATGAGAAAAAAAAAATGCTTGAACTGATTAGAAGCAGTAACAGGGTATATTATATATTTTTTGATTAGCTTAAAAGTAGCAAAAGGGTTCTATATAGTGTCAGTTAAACACTGAATAAGTAGCTTTAAAGCATATGATTTATCTGAAATTTTTGTTAAGACTATAAATATTTAGTGCAGTTAAGAGTTAGGGAGAATTGGGGAGATAGTTTCCTCAAATTAATCAGATATTACAATTTAAATATGTGTAGTCGTACAGAAATTTTATGTCAAGAAAGGTGTTTTAAAAACTTAAGGAGAAAGGTACGGAGGAGAAAAGTATGGAATTAATTTTAGAATAACTTTTAAAATAAATAAATCCATTCAGTTCTCAAAGGTATCTATGATAGTTAAGTTGTGCTTATAATCTGTATGCCAGGTAAAACATATTACTGCCTGGTAGCAACATACTTAAATTTAAGCTCACATGTTTGATAATGATCAGTTTCTTGAAAATGTAACCTATAACTTAAAGAAGATTCAGAAATTCTATGTAAGTTTTTAAATTGTCATCAACTTGATTTTAAAAAATATTTTGTTAGTTTTCTTTAAAGCCTATAAATGAGGGTGAATGGTCCATCAGGTGTTAAGAAAAATAATTATTTCCCATTTTTAGTTAACTGCAGAGTTTTAAGGAAAAAGCCCTAAGAAAAGCAATCTATGTATGATTCATCTAGAACTTTAAACATTTCAACTAGTCTTCAGAGTTGTGAATTTGCAGTTGATCCAGAAATAAAAGCTGCTCTGTTCATCTGGGTTTACTAAAAATACTCCCAAACTTAACATCTAACTTCTTCTTCTTTTTTTTTTTTTTTTTTTTTTTTAAACAACATAGATCCTGGAAGAGTATACGAAAGACTCTTCCTGGTCAACAATGAACTGACATGCACCATTTTTGCTTTGCAGATACTTCTGACATATACAGTGTAAATGTTTATTCATTTATCAGTTGTCTATGTGTCATCTATACACACTTTATCTTCATGTTTTCAGGTAAAAATACTTTAAAATAGTTGAAGATGAAAGATGTCATTGTACTACTAGGTTTAGCCTCTCATTTCCTTTATCCTCAACTTATTTTCTTTTGTGTCATCTGAATCCTCCAGATATCGAACTTTTCGTTTTTATGCCTTTCACATTTCCACTGGAGATCACTTTGTCCCCTTCATTAGGGTTCTGTCAGGAGAGATTTAAGATTTGGTCCTAGCTAAAAAATATGGCTGTAGCTCTGAAGATGACATAAAAGTTTTTCCCCATGCCTAAGATCTCAAATATATATATACGTTTGAAAGAAAAAACAGGGAGAGTATTATTTTTTTGTCCAGATTATTTTTGCTCACTGTAGTTTTGTAAAAAACAGTCTGTACATACATGTAAAAAAAAAAAAAAAAAAAAAAAAACCAAAAAAGAAAAAAAATCAAAAACCTTTCAGTCCCTACATAATAACTCAGAAATAAAGTTTCTTCAGCCAGCTATGGGGATGAGGGAAATAATTCCCAGGGTACACACATTAATGGTTCTGTCAACTCTGTCATTCTCACATTGCAATGCCAATGCAATTCCACATAAACACAATTATGCTGAGGCAAACACTGTTGCAGAGTATAAGAACTACATATGCACTGTTCTAAGAAACACAACTTGTGAGGTTCATGAGGCATGGCAATGTTTGTGGCAAACAGGACCAATGTGAGAATCAAATTAATTAGATTCCTAGAGTCTACTGCTTAGCATGCAATACAGTAAACAACTAAGCTCCATGATGACTGAGTTGACTGGCATACAACAACCACAAATTGTTCTCTTTGAGCACAAAGGGCATGTAAGAGCTGACAGCTGAGTGTCCCAGGCATGGTTCTAAGTAGTTTGTATGATACCACATATGATGTTACTAACTAGGCTGGTCAGTTTGGGTGGTGATAACAGTGTGTTGCTGGAGTTAAAGTTACAGAGTCAACCTCTGTATGCTTAGTTAGCACCATATTAAAACAAAAATTTTTTCCATGCCACAGACTATTAGTGACCTAGCTATTATCTTACAAATATATGCTGTTGGTCATAATACAGACTGAGTGTGTCCAAAACCCATCATTACAACTGGAACTAAAATAACTGGAATCAAAGAGCAAAGCTGATCCACACAGAAGGACGAGCACAAAGTCAAAGGTCCAATCCTTAAAACCTGTACCACCTGGGTATTATCAAATGTATTTTTCTAATGCTGTTTGTGGGAAGTATTCAGACTTTATTTTGGTTTTTCTTTGCCTCAGTTCTTAGCCTCTTTTTGTTGTTACTAAACAAGTTGGAGGCAAAACAATCTAGATTTTGGCTTCCTTCTTTTTATTCTCTGACGCAGTTTATGTAAGACAAGTATTATTATACTCGTTCCTTGACAGTTTGATGAAATTCATCCCCCAAATTACTCTAGGCTTGGTGTCTTTGGCAGCAGGTTGGGGAGGTGGTGGTGAAGTATGATTAAATTTCTTTAAAGGTTACTGGACTTCTTTGTTTTGCCATTTCTTCCTAAGTCATTTTGATATTTTATATTTTCCCAGAAGAGTGTCCACTTAAATCAGGTTTTCAAGCTTATTGTCATAAAGTTGCTCAAAATAATCTTATATTTTAAATACGTTTATCTTAACTTTGTCCCTATTTCTCTTCCTAATACTATTTGTTCACACCTAGTTTTTCTCTAGTTCAGCTTGTCAAAGATTTACTGCATTTTACCCTCCCTAATGGGGCTCAGTGTGCAGTGGCTGGAAAAAGTAGATTCCCGGGTTATGTATGCAGCTCAATTGTTATACGTGTTGCTTTAAGGGACCTTGAAGACTTTTCCCTCTCCCTGTTGTTGCCAAAATAACTGCCTCTGATCTGTTTTTGTTTGCATCCCAGGCCCCAGACTAGCATATAAGATGCCTTTGAGTCCTAGAACACTGCAGTCAAGGTGGACATTGGAAAATAAAAAGGTTTATTGAATTTTATATCTTTTCAAAGAATCAGCTTCTGGTATTAACACTATTTCTACTGCTATTCTGTTTTCTGTTCATTAATTTCTGCTTTTATCTTTATTTCATTCCTTCTACTTAATTTGGGCTTACTCTGTTTTCAACTTCTTGAGTTTAAAGCTTAGCTCATTTATTTTCACTTATTCAAAATTTTTAACCTTAAACACGTATTTAAGGTTATAGCTTTCTCTCTTTAGCTACTCTACAAGATCTAATGTGAAGTAATCTCATTGTTGTTTAGCTCTAAATATTTTGTATTTCTCATTATAATTACCTCCTTACCCATGCAGTATCTACGAGGAAGTTTATACTTTTCAGAAGCGTTCTTTTCTTCTCCAGCTAACTTTTTGTTGCCATTGCAAAAAAACTATAATCCCTCCATAATCTCAATTCTGTATCTCCAGATCCTATCTTTCCAGCTTATTCTTTCTACTAGGGTGACCCTGAACTATCATTCAACCTCATGGAATCTCCACTGTCTCTCATGCACTTGATGTTCCTTCACTCTACTCTTTATCGAGCTTACATTCCATGATTTATCATTATTATCATCACTCACCCCTCTCTCCCCTCATAGTGCTTGGCAAAACTACAACCTTATTTAAATCAAATTTTCTGCCTACTCCACACCTGCACCTGTGCAACTAAATGTGGCTGAAAAAAAAAAAACCACCATGCTCATTGGTCTCAATTTAAATTCATTACTTTGAACCTTTAGTGGACTCTAATGCACACACAGATACTTCCCTACTCCATTTACTTTCCTAGATAAATACTTCACCCCTTTCCCTTTTAACTCAAACACCTATCACTTCCTTCCTCATGTTCTTTCTTGGCTGCTGGTCTTGCTTTCTATTTCACTAAGAAAATTGAAGCAATCAGAAAAGAGCTTCCACAGACTATCACCACATTTAACCACCATTTACCATCTTCTCACTTGTCACCATTGATGAACCTAACATGCTTCTATTTGAAGTCAAATCTTTCAACTTGTACTCTAGACCCTACTCAAGGACCTCATTACAGCAGCTCTCCATTCTTCCTCCTACATCATCTTTTGTTGTTGCTGTTGTTCTCCATTGGGATCATTCTCAGGAGCAAACATGTAGCTTAAAAAACACCCTTTTCCGGCACGGTGCAGTAGCTCACCCCTGTGATCCCAGCACTCTGGAAGGCCGAGGTGGGAGGATTACCCGAGGCCAGGAGTTTGAGATGAGCCTGGTCAACATGGCGAAAGCCTGTCTCTCCTAAAACTACAAAAAATTAGCCAGGTGTGGTGGCGGGCGCCTGTGATCCCAGCTACTCGGGAGACTGAGGCAGGAGAATCACTTGAACCTGGGAGGCGGAGGCTGCAATGAGCCAAGATTGTGCCATTGCACTACTCCAGCTTGGGCAACAGAGTAAGACTCCGTCTCAAAACAAAAAAACACCCTTTTCTTGACTCTATCTCCCCAAAAGCTGCCACTCCATTTCCTTGCCAACTCCCCTTCCTGAAAAACTTATCTTAAAAAAAAAAAAAACTTTTCTCAATGTTTCCAATTCCTCTCTTCTCAATGTGGCTTAAAATTACTTCAGTCAGGCTTTCTATCTCCCTATTCCAACAAAACCACTCTTATCAAGGTCATAATGTTATCAAAATCAATGGTCAGTTCTTAGCCTTCATCTTACATGATGCTATCAGCAACATTTAACACTGTTGACAACTCTCTCTTTCCTGATACTTTTTTTTTTTTCACTCACACTGGAAAGGACACCAGATACTTCTTGGGCCCTCTTCCCTTTTCTGTATTTTCTTTCTGTTATCTGATACAGTCTCATGGCTTTAAATATCATCTAAATACTCCACAGCATTTTGGTGGATCTGTATAACCAAACTGCCAAAATTTCCAGTCGGAAATCTAATAGGTATCTCAAACCAACATACCTAAAATTGGATTCTGGCCGGGTGCAGTGGCTCACACCTGAATCCCAGCACTTTGGGAGGCCAAGGTGGGCGGATCACTTGAGGTCAGGAGTTCTAGACCAGTCTGGCTAACACTGTGAAACCCCAACTCTACTAAAAATACAAAAATTAGCTGGGTGTGGTGGCGGGCACCTGTAATCCCAGCTACTCGGGAGGCTGAGACAGAGGAATCGCTTGAACCCAGGAGGCAGAGGTTGCAGTGAGCCAAGATGGCACCACTGCACTCCAACCGGGGTGACAGAGCAAGACTCCGTCCAAAAAACAAATAAATAAAATTGCATTCCTAAGAAGTCATTATACGAAAAAAATACTTGCACATGCATGTTTACAGCAGCACAATCTGCAATTGCAAAAATTTGGAACCAGCCCAAATGCCCATCAATCAATGAGTGGATAAAGAAACTGTGGTATATATATACACCATGGAATACTACTCAACCATAAAAAGGAATGAAATAATGGCATTTGCAGTGACTTGGATGGAACTGGAGACCATTATTCTAAGTGAAGTAACTCAGGAACTGAAAACCAAACATCGTATGTTCTCACTTATAAGAGGGAGCTAAGCTATGAGGATGCAAAGGTGTTAAGAATGATACAATGGACTTTGGGGGCTCAGGGGAAAGGGTGGGAGGGGGGTAAGGGATAAAAGACTACACATTAGGTACGGTGTACCTTGGATGATGGGTACACCAAAATCTCAGAAATCACACTAAAGAACTTTTTCATACAACCAAAGATTACCTGTTCCCCAAAAACCTATGGAAATAAAAAAATTAAATAAATAAATAAATAAGACAGGCTTCCTAGTTTTCCTCCCCAACCTGCTTCATTTTTAGCCTCCCCCATGCCAGTTGATGGTAACTCTATCCTATCAGTTGCCTAGGTAAAAAACCCTGGAATCATCTAAAATTCCTCCCTCTGTCTGTCACATCCCACAAGCCCTTCCAGGAAATGTTGGCTCTACCTTCAAATATATCCAGAATCTTACCAATTTTCAACAACTCTATTGCTGCCATGTGATCCAAGCCGCTATCATAATTTCTTGCCTGGATTACTGTAATAGCTGCTCAGCTGCTACCTCTGTCTGAAGTCTAATCTCAACACAGCAGCTTGAATGATTGTTTTAAAACTTAAGTCAGATCACATCACTCCTTTATTCAAAATCCTGCAATGGCTCCTCATTTTGTGCATAGTAAATGGCCTATGATGCTCTACATTCAGATGATCTGATTCTCTTTCCTGCTACTCTCACCTGTCATTTCTTTCATGTGCCAGTACTTTCCCACCATATGGCCTTTGCTCTAGTTGTACCCTCTTGCTAGAGGACCTCACTACAGTACATCTGAAATGTTCTTCCTTCAGATATCTTTGTGGCTAACTCCTTCAGCTTCTTCAAATCTCAACCTGTCAGTAAGATTTACTCAGACCCACTGTTTATATTACAACCTGTACTTTCTCCACCCAAACCTCTTTATTCAATTCTCCTTTCTAGTTTTTTTTTTTTCCAAACTGCATCAGTGTCTAACATATTATATACTTTATTATGTTTGTTTTTTATGGTCTGCCTTTTCATCTTACTCCCTGCTAGAATGTACACTTCAGCAGGTCAGGATCTTTGTCTACATTGTTGACTAAAGGATTCCAAGAGCCTTGAACAATATCTGGCAAATATTGAACAAGTAAGTATTTGTTGAATGAATGAGTGTTGATTTTTTCATTTAGCATGGTCACTATACACATGCCCTACATGTGCTATATATCTGTTACATTAAGCTGGTGTATTATGTTGTTCAAATCCTTTATGTTCTTGAGTATTTTTGTCTGTTCGATATATTGGTTTCTAAGAGAGGTGTGTTAAAATCTGCAACACTGACTGTGGATATGCCATTTCTTGGTAATTCTGTCAGTTTTGTTTCATATATTTTGAGAGTATATTTTCAGTATCTAGAGTCATTTTATATCATCTTCGTGGATTGTTCCCTATTTATAAGACATATATTTCTGTCATTTGATGTTTTTAAGCAAAAACATGTTCATGTTTCAAATGATATGCATGTTGCCAGCTTTCAATTGGTGGTAACCAAGAGAAAATTTTTCCTATACTTTTATTTTTTATCTTTCAGTGTTACTCTGAAAACAGCATATGGAAGGATAATCTGAGTATCTCTCTGGTTTTGTAGATTAATTTATATTATGATTACTTACACATTTTATTTTGTATTTCCTATTTCCATGTTTTTCCTTTGCTTCTTTTTATCTTCTTTCCTGCCCTTTATTGAATGGAGTGAAAGCATTTAAAATATTACCTATCTTTTCTCTTTCCTCTACTGATTTAGAACTTGCACCTTCTATTTCTATACTTCTATTACTGTACTGAATATCCTTATATTTAACATACTTAAATATATTTTTTCTTTAAATGTCTATAAAATTAATCTGCGTCTTTTCTACTCTAAACAAGGACTTTAGTACACATTTACATCTTTTAATACCATATTATTGCTAATATTTAGTTCTAACTTTTGAAGCATATTAGCTTTATCTCATATTTTAACACTCTTTGCTTTTGTATTCTACCTTTTTCTGCATTTATTTTTTTCTTTGCTGAAGAACATCCTTTAGTTCTTTTATCACCAAGAGTTTGTGAGTTGAAAACTTAGCTCTGTGTATCTGAAGGTGTGTTTATTTTGGTCCCACTCTGTATATAAACCACTGTATGAAACTGTAAGCTCATACTTATTTTTCTACAGCACTTTGAAGATACTAGTCAGTTTTCTAGTATCCACTGTTGCCAGAGCCTACTGCCAATTCGACTACCATTCCATTATTCAGAATTTTTTGTTATATCTGTATTCAGAATTTC